TGAAGAATGGACTCAGACGAGAAAAACTTTCTAGCGTGACATAGAGAACCAACTTTCCTTGCGGTAAATGAAGCTATTGATTCAATGTATTTATTCCATCTCAGGTCAGCGGAAAGTGTGAGACCAAGCAGGCGCAAAGAGGCGCTTACGTGGAGTTGGGCATCAGACACTATAATGGAAGGTAGTGAGGGTTCTCTGTGGTGGGTAATAGAAAGCAGTTTTGTTTTTGGGGCATTAAAGTTAACTAGCCATTTCCTGCCCCAGTCAGCAACCGTTAATTCAATTTTTGTGCAAAACCGACTCCGATTATTTGAATCTTTGTTTTCAAATAGATATATTAACCAACCAGCGACGTCAAACAAGACGCGCGGTATTCTTTGAATTGGCAGACAGCAAACATCATAAAATAAAACTTTGGTAGCACAACTTCAGAATATGTTCAACAATATTTTCTTTTATATATATATATATATATATATATATATATATATATATATATATATATATATATATTGGATTGTATAGTATAGGATTGGTATATATGGAATAAATTTCAATAACCAAAAATACTATTCTTAAAAGAGTGCTCAATACAAAGTAGAGCAAATATAATTATTTATTCGAAAATTATAACATAAATATGTTATAAAATCGCTACAAAAATAGACATTTAGTTTCAACACTTCTGGTGTCTTATCAAGTGATGGCTATTTTTTGTAGTGATTTTATAACATATTTATGTTATAATTTTCGAATAAATAATTATATATATATATATATATATATATATATATATATATATATATATATATATTAGGAAATACGCTTGCGATTAAAAATCTAAATTTTAGATCCATCTGGTGCCTACCTAGTCAAAATAAAATATGATTAATTTTTGTCCGCTTATCAGTCTTTCAGTTAACTTGCCCAGGGTTGTTTGTTCAATCGATTGGCATAAAAACGAAATTTAAATTCTCACCATTAATTACTCACATCTTTCGCTTATTTATTTCGAGTATTCAACATTACAAAAATTATATTTACCGACAACATTCCACTAACTTGTTTCTATGCTGTAATAGTGGGGATCGCCTTCTTTCCACTTTCATAGTCTAAAACGAGAATTTATACACACAGTGCAGACAACGTAAACTTGTGACATATACATCCGCACACATGCAGCAGTAGCGTCTAGGTTTTTCTCGTCTTCGTTCATAAGGTTTACAACTAGAATTCATACGCACTATCCTGTGTGATAAAGCCACTAGACTTGACACATACGTCTGTACACATATAAACTCATTTATCGTTTAACGTATGCTAACCCAATTCATTCAGTTTTACTGTTAGCAAAGAGGATACACGAAACATTTTGTTCACAAAGTATTTTTGTAATTCGAAAGAAAATAATATTCCAATAAAAATTATTAAAATTTGCGGATACATGTTGAAGATTAATTTAATTCTTCGCTTATACACGCAAATTCCACTCGGCTACGGATTAGTTAACCTGGCGTATTTTTTAATAACGTTCGAATAAAAAATATGTCGGATTAAAAATATATATATATATATATATATATATATATATATATATATATATATATTATGCTCCTGAAAAATTTATTTTGGTTGAGGTCTCTGGGGTGGAAGTGTGAGTTTGTAAACAGCGACTATTACGGCAATGCAAGACTCTTCGGTAAAGTGAATCGAGTTCTCTCAGTCTTTATCTAAAAATAAATACACTTAAATTCACCTTGATCCCTGCCGTGCACCGACAGCTTAGAGGTAAAATATCCGACTGACGCCAATTCAGCCAGGTTTCGATCCTAGCTAGAAGCAACCGGATGTCTAACCACACTGATGAGCTGTGATACTGCGAAACAGTCTGTCTGTGGATGATAATATATTAATATATATATATATATATATATATATATTATATATATATATATATATATATATATATATAATTTAGGGGTCAGAGTTGAATTAGACCAGGAAACAGTAGTATTAAAAAGAGTTCACTACACGTATAAAGAATAAAATAAAAATTAACAGGACACGGAGTTGCTTTTAGACTCTATCGAGGGTGAGAAGTAAAGATTGGCCGCTCCGTTTCCAAATATGAGTGCAGTGCTCCATTTTTGGTAGATCTGGTTCCTGTAAAGGTAGATGATAGGAGGAAGAGTCAGGTATTTACTAGAGCGGCAAAGGGAACTGACCACTTTGTCATCTTGTACGCGTTCCACTTGAGGTCTGGGTTGAGTTTAAATCGGAATAAGTGACCAGGCCACGGCGTCTTGCTATAAATAAAATAAAGACATCACCGTCAGGACTATAAATAAAATGAAACATTAGTCGCAAATAAGATGCAGATAAAATCCTATTTCCCGTTTCCCTTGTTTCCGAGTAGCCTATATATAGAGACCACACAAACAGGATTAACAGATGGCTTAAATACGTGAAAATGACAGTTACAATCCAACAGCAAGGCCTCTGATCAGGAGGTTTTGAGGAGCGCGGAACCATCTCATAATTGCTGGTGATCCCAGGCCCATCCTGACCCGGGGTGATAACAATTGTCAGGGTCCCAGTTATGGGCAAACAGTAAACACCCAAACTGGGGTCAACACTATAAAAGTGTAAAAATAGATTTTAATACCAAAAATATATGTTTGTAAAAAAATATTACCAGCAATAAATTTTTCAAGAAATACATTACTAGCAATACATTTTTGAAAAAAAAATATCCCAAGAAAAACCTTTTGAAAAAATATTACCAACAATAAAATTGTCGCCATTAAATAACGCATTGAGGTTGATATACCGTAAAAAAACAAACCAAACCAAACCGATCTTTCATAATACTCTAAAAAATACAACCAATTTTAACTCATATATATATATATATATATATATATATATATATATATATATATATATTGGATAGATATATATTTGTTGGACCCTGGGTTTCACCCTTTTGATGATCGCTAAAGGTCACAAACTCACATCTATCCAACCAAATATGTTAACTCTATCTCTGATATTGAGCGCTTTCTAATAACTACCGCGCATATAATATATAAATAATTATACATATATATATTTATTTATATTTATATACTTTTTCATATATATATATATATATATATATATATATATATATATATATATATATATATATATACACACACACATATATATATATATATATATATATATATATATATATATATATATATATATATATCGAAATTGAAAAGTCAGCAGACATCGGAAGCCTAACACTGGAAAATAAGGAATGCGATTGTGAATCTGGTAATGAGCTTGCTAATTTCCGATTCGCGCAGCAGATATTTGAGCGTTTCAGTAAAAAAAAAAAAAATTAACAAATGCAAAAAAAAAATTAATACTCGAAAATTTTTATCTCACAAATTCGAATGTCATTCTTTATCTGCTTCCTGATTTAATATTTTAATCAGAATTCATGTCAATGTTAATTTTATTAGATTGATCATTAGATTCGACTGTGTCATTTTTACAGACATGAGAAGATTGATTATATTGAATAGAAAAATTGGTTCACTGTGTTGAGCCATACAATTTTTCTCGCTACAATCTATCTTGCAAATTTAAGAATCTACCATCCCCCCATGAATCGAATATTGCTGCCATGGAGCTCCTGTAATATATCTTGAGATTTTCGACAAAATCCAAACAGTGTGTAATATTATCGGTCCTAATCTGGCATCACGGCTTCAGTCAATTTCGTAGAATATTTTCACGGCAATTTTTCTAATCAACTTTCATCGTTGGTACATCGCGTTACTAGATTGGCAACTAGTTCTCACCGTTTTATTGTTGACATAGCTAGATGTCACCTTAAGATCTATTCTAATGTTTTCTTTTCTCGCACTTCTCGCTTGTGGAACTCTCTTACGATTTCTTAATTCCTTGACACGTACGATTTTGAAAAATTTAAATGCGACGTCAATCGCCATCATCTGTCTTCTTGGATCCTGTTCTTTTATTGTCTTTTATCCCACGAAATCCTTCTCATTCTAAGTAACCTCTGGCGACTTCGAGGCTTTATCACCTTGCGTGGGGTAAAATGATATTAAAACAAATTCAACTTTTCTTCACTTGACGTTTTCGTCATTATTTTGGCCAAGGTACCCTTAGGCCTTCTTTCAATTTATTTCGGGACAAAATCAGTCTTCGAGATTCGATAGTCCATTTGTATCAGAAAAGATGCTTTTATGTAGCATTCTCGCAATTACCCTCTTCGTTTTTAGAATTTCATGTATGTATGTATGTATGCATGTATGCACGCGTGGTAGTGCGTGGCCGTGTGGTTAGAGTACTCGTTTTAAGACTATGATACCCGAGTTCGAATCTCACCTTGGCCTTTTTTGTTTTTTTAAGCGTTTCACCCCAAGCAAAGCGGGAAGCCGCTGGGACGCAAGGGGTTACAGAAGACTTGGAGCAAGATCAGATAGGAGTGATAGAGGAAAGGATGAGAAGAAGGATAGTGGATAGATCAAGACAACTGGAGATGTCGATTGACATTACATTTGAATAGTTGGAGATTATACCTCTCAGGGTAACTGGAATAGGCAAGGGAGTTCCACAGGCGATTCGTTATCGGATTGGATCAAGGTTGATCCCAGCGTGAGGCACCTTTGGAAAGTGACATTTTAACAATCACATATTTAAAAAAAAAAAAAAAAAAAAATATATTTTGACTTGCATTACAGTTCTTTTCGTCTCGGATGTTACCTGAATTTAACCTAAAGAGAAAAATAATATCCATGTCCGATGATGATAGGATGACCTATCGAAAGTACTAGTATATTTGTGGAACATACGAAACATCTAAAGACAAAGATCGTATCATTCAACGAGTGGTTAGTGGGTTAATACTTTTTAAATTTATTAGCGAAGTGAATTCGCCATTTATTACTTTAACCGTACTAATTTATTCTTTGTATAACGTTTTGTTGTGCGTGGAGAGACGGAAGAAACCTAAATATCGGAGATTATTCTTGGCTTTAACGATTAAAACAAAGCATAAATAAGAAAGAAATAGAAATCGGGGAAAGAAAGAAAGAACAATACTAAGAAAGAAAGAAAGAAAGAAAGAAAGAAAGAACAATACTAAGAAAGAAAGAAAGAAAGAAAGAACAATACAAAGAAAGAAAGAAAGAAAGAAAGAAAGAAAGAAAGAAAGAAAGAAAGAAAGAACAATACTCGCCAGCGGCATGAAGTAGGTAAACCACTGCTAGTGGTGGACTACTTGGACAACATAATGGTATTTATCAATCCACCCACGGGGATCGAATGTGGCACAAGGCTTTTTTAATGTAGGTATCTCTGAGCCCGTAGGCCCAGCCAAAAATAAATAACCATCCAAACCCGCCGAGGCGGGCCAGTTCCGTCAACCTCCCCCAAAGAAACCCTACCCTTCGGCGGAGTTTCGTCCGGGTTCCTCTCTGCAAGCAGAGAGTTCGACAGACACCCGACCCGGCAGCTCACAAAGCGCAGATACTACACTTTGATCCTAGCCACCGGGCCGATCGGGTATTCTTTTTAGAGATTTTACTTGGACAGCATAATACCCTCACTCATTAGTGTCCAACGTATTTATGAGGATTGGAACATACCCATTAGTGTTCATAGGTATGGTATATAACAGTATCTAATGTATCTTCAATCTTATTGAAATGTCATTGATAATTATCTTTTATTAATGAAATATGCGTTAGGTTAGCATACAAAGAGATAATTCAAAATAAATAATGACCTACGTTCATAACTTTGCTTGTTATTGTAATATTTATTGTAAGTTGTTAAGCCCCAAATATTCCATATTTTCTGTTAATTCACCTCAAAATATAAAGAATTTATATTTACTAAAATTCACACCAAATTCTCCCAGAGCGAGGTCATTCCTTTACACTCCAGGTGGGTTAACATTTGAGATTTTCCCAAATCGCGACATGGGTAAGTTATTTATAAGTATGGCGGTCAACGTTCGCGCTCACCCTGATAAACAAGCCAAAAACAGATTTGTTTCTTTTTTTTAAATTGAAAATAATCCTTGTAAACACAGCGAATATCATGCAGACTTAAGAAATGTGAGTAAATAACCAATTTTTGGTATTTTTTATTATTATTATTCTGAGGTTGCTGTTGTGAGGCAAGCCAAACAAATTTTTATTTAAAATGTATAATTTCAAAAGAGCGCCAACAATGTAATAAAAAAAAACAAACTTTTATTTCAAATTTATAATTTCTTAGAGCGAATTAATATTTGCGATAAATAACTTTGCATTATTTGGGTGAATAAACAGAAAAGATTCCAAATATTTTACGATGCAGACGTGGATCCTCCACGCGTATTTTATAGTCGCGGTAATCTAAATTCAATGACTAAGTTAAAAAAATATGAACCATCTAAAAAATTAAAAATAGGAAAACCATGAAATCTTCACGAGTACTGATAGCTATCATTATTGAATTTAAACTTTTTAAAAAACGTAATTTCCTTCCATAGAAATGCTGTTGTTATCATTTCTGCCATCATTGCGGCATTTCTTGAAAAATATCTTCAGCTACTTCCATGATTATATTTGCGAAATTTACCAAAACCTAATTCCAATTCTCACCAGGGGAGAAAATATTCTAATCGCTTGCATTCCATACGCCAAAACTTGCCCCACCGATTGACACTGTTTGAAAAAAAGGAAAAAGAAAAAGGCGAGGGTAAGGCCGTCTTGGTGGCGGGGTTATTGCTCCATTTCAATAATAGCGTTTTCTGGCGATGCAGTCACGTAAATGTAAATATGGCGATTGCGGACAAACAGCGCTGGGAGCCGCTAAGTCACGATTGATGGCCTTGGGGGTTGAGAGACGCAGCTCTTTGGTCACTGCTCTGGTAAACAAAGCTATCTGATAGAGATAAGACTCCACCAGTCACATTAAAACGCATTGGTGTGAACGATATTACAAGCACTACTATATCAAATAACAATAATCACCATCATGGTGTCTCAGGAACTTCCTACTGATACTAAACCTACCAGACACTAGTAGGACCAACAGAAATTCCGCAGTGGATTTTTTTTTTACTTAGAATTTGAACGTCAAATTATATTTTGATCATTATGTTTAAAATCTTTAAAAGAGATCCTGTTTTTATTAATATTTCATCCTTCACAATGAATGAATAAAAAATGTAACTTGACTTTATTTTATATGGAGAAGAATAAATTAAGCAATCATGCGTTTTCTCTTTCTGGAATTTGAGATCAAGTCTCTCTTTAGGAATGGCGTAATGTTTTTAATAGTATTACCAGTTTATTTTAGTGCCACGTCTCTCCGTGACGTAAGCGACCATGTCTTTCCACAGATTTATTTTCTTTATTATTTGAAATTGTCATGCATTCTTAGAAAAGAGAGTGGAATCGGTTCCTGTTGCCTTTTCTACTCTTTGGAATTCAGGGCTGTTCATTCTTTTACATTGGTTGTTACCCAAAGTTAAAGAGCCAACTTTACCATGCATTACTGCGAAAATATATTTTCTTTATTATTTGAAACTCACCAAAAAAATTTAATTTCTTTATTATTTGAAATTATCATGCATTCTTAGCGTAGAATTTGAACTCCATTTGCCATTTGTACTCTTCAAGCAGATATCCGCTATGCTATTCCCACAGTCCGAGCAGAAGTCACGTGTTTTCATTTTGATATAATTTAGAGTGCATACTCAATCTACGCCCTTGTGCAAATTAATCCAAACAACCGCTTTAGTTTCCTTTCTTTCACCATTCGGTCAGTTTTAGACCCACAGGGTGTAAAAGATTACTATTTTTACCTCAGATTAGGTCATTTGCTGTGGTGTGCAATAATATGAATCTATTTTCGGGGTGTATAATGAAATTTCTTTGGCCTCGAAAAATCTGTGATTGCATCAGATTTTATCACGCCCAGACACTATTGTCCCGACTATCGATTAGGTGTCCTACAGCCACTGTCTGCGATGGACGTTACTCAAAGGAAGCGTACGAAAATTGTAACGCTGCGCGAACATACTGGCAAGTCTTACCAGTGAGCAAATCAAAGTAATATATACTGACCCGGAAACTCTCCTGATTTAAATCCAATTGAGAATCTGTGGTCAATCTGCAAGGAACGACTTCAGGGAATGGACATCCGAATTACTAGCATGTGCACTGGGTCATGTTTCATTGAAAAAAAAACGAAAAAAAAGTAAATAATAATGGAATCATTTGTTTTGTTTCAATTAATTTGCTCAAGGGTGTAGAAAAAAAAACACAACTTGTTTTTCCTTTTGTGAAGGATTGGTATAAAACACATTATTTTTTTCAATTACTAGTCTTAGGCACTTTTTGGCAGATGGATACAAATATCGAGTATCGTGTGTGTGTTTAACTCACTACTTGAAAGTAAAGTTTCACAAGACGAGCTTAGTCGTGATAAACCCTCTGTGAAACATTCGTTTGCAATCTTTCAGCTATTCTTGACAAGTTTCTCGTCTTTCCTTATCTTACCTTCCTTAATCAATCACACTAGAATCTTTTAAAGTTTTGCTTATTTTCAATTGGCATTGTTAGCTTGATAAGGCAGCCTAAATTTCCACTACTTTGTCGCTTCTCGTGACTATTGATATCTTTGCAAGTCTTGTCACAATTCTCCTTTCTCAGTTTCTCATTGTTATTATTGTTGTCGCTTTTATGTTCGTCTCTTTCACATCGCATAATAACAAGAAGAGCAACAGCAAAGAATGATTTATAGTTATGTCTATTGCAGATCCCTTCGACGCCTACGTACTCACTACCCGGGGTACATTTTGATTGGCAGACACCGTACCCATTATTAAGCAATGGGCGTGATTGGGTAGTACAGGCCACTTAAATTTTCGCCTGTACAATTAGTGAAGTTTTTTTCGTCGTGTATTATCTTGGTCTGTGATTTTCTTGATAATCTATAATCGGATTATCAGTTCGAAGAAGACGTCGAATCGTATTGATACTCTGTTGCCTGCATTCTTAAAGAGAAGCCATTTTTTGCCTTAAAAAAGACTCGTTTTTTTTCTTATAATAAACTATGAAAAGTTAATAGGTGGTTAGTAGCTGCATCTTAGAATGAAACACCCAATCTATGCTTTTGATGATGGGCAGGTATTTCTTAAAACACTACCTATCAATATTTCTGCACTACACTGTCTATATTTCTGAGATAAAGTATTATGTACACTATTTACATTGTTCGGACTATCATCCTCAGCGTTTGGAATGTCGAACTGAACCTTTTTTTTTCGCTTGCTGGGATAGACTGTTCTAGTTCCATGTACCATGTCTAATGGTTGTCAGTTATCAGTTATCTGTTAATTTTAATGTTAATTCCCCTCTCCAATTATATTGTCACAAAATAACATTATATTACGGCCATGGAGGTGCTGGTTGTGGAATGGAACAACATGTCAGAGATCCGAGTTCGAATTCCAGTCGAATTCGTTACATTAACTTTCACGCTAATACTCTTCGAAAGGATATGAATCCATCGCTTCGCTCCCCCAGCCTATGGCTTAAATAGTAGAACAGAATGGGCTCTTCAGATTTGGTTGGCAACTACTCAAGAAGAAAACCCTGAATTCAAAACAGGTTGTGCATGGTATTAGCAACTACATCCCGTCAAATACCGATTTGCTACAGAAAGCTCAGCATCAACATCTTTTATTTTTTATTCGGTCGAGTTAGCTCGGATATTCATGAGTAATCACGCCAACCATCAAGGCTCCTTCCTCAAGATAGGGTCATTAGGGTGATATTCTGTGGAATAACATAACAGAAGAGACAAGACCAGAGACAACAGAGAGGCCGACGAAAGCCTCCAAAACTTCAGCCTTGTGTCAAACTTTACCAAAGCATCAAACTGAACTTTACCAAGTCAACAACGATAATATCACTTCCGAGTTTAGATGCGGGTCGGGCTGATAATTAATTGCATGCGAACTCTGATATAAACCAATTAATGTACGGAGGACTGATATAAAAAAAGTATTTACTTTTGTTCAATTTATTCCAATGTTATTTTATTCCTGTACGTCATCGACCTGCTTGGCCCAGTCCAACACGAAAATACCGGCGACGATTCTATCTTAGCCTCCTTATGATCAAACTTAAATCACAACGTGGGATAAGGTTAGCTCTGGATTGAACCGATCACTTCAGCGACCAGACGCAGTGTTAGAAGTCTTAAACGTTCGAGGAGGGTGTTGTACCATTACAAGTGTAGGTGGTTGCTTGGCGACCAATCCACTTTTTTCGCCAGCAATGTCTTGCAAAGCACATTAAGCGTTCGCGTAAAATTGTAGAAATATCAGGGATGGGTTCATAAATATGTGATTTAGTTGGATGTTGTTTCCAAGGGATGTTAAGTTTATCTCTCAGCATCTGAGTGTAGGTTCCGTCAAGCTTAGACACTAGGGTTTTAATTAATGTCCAAAACAGTGGCGTCATACATTAACACCGATCGACAGTGGCTCGAAATAATTTCCAGATTTCATCCATTTTATTCAAGGCGGTCCAGGCTTTAGCTATGCGAATTAGCTTTTTATCTTTAGATATGCGAATGTTCACATCCTTTTTAGTAGAATGTATCTCACTTCCTAGGTATATAAAAGATTCGACAGATTTTATTGATTCACATGAGACAGTTTGTATTGAGACTTCCTGGTTGAAGCCTATGAATTCAGTTTTAGAGGCATTGACATTTTCTAGATGATGTAGGAGAACTGTGGCATTAATAATGGTGTCTGCAGTAATAGCTATGTTATCTGCATAGTCAATATCGGTCAATATTTTTTTTTCAGAATATTGACTTGAGTGTCTTGATTATAAAGTAAAACCGAGATGATGAAGTCTTCGATTCTGCACATAGTGGAAAAATAGAGAAGATCTTTCTGGCATATGGCATCACCCCTCTCAGACAGCAACTGCCATAATGATGATATAAAAAAATGCTTTAGTTAAATTCCCAGACGTAGACACTAACTTCATCGTCATCAATGCAGGGGTCTTTCAGAATGACTGCCTTGCATCTTTTCTCGTTGTTATCACTCTTGACTACGTATTGAGAACTTCCCTCGACAAAAGTCAACATCTGGCAGGTTTAATGCTGTTGCCCAAGGAAGTGGGATCAAGAGGTTTTGAGTGAGTGATCATAAACTATATATAGTTTATAGAAGGGCAAGAGAGAAAAAAAATTGATGAAAAGCTTATAATTCGCGTAACTGACATATCGAAACTGAGTCGGTCTAAAGCACGTCGAATCTAACGACGGTTCACTATGCCAAGGAAAACGCAGGTTCGAATTTTACTGGAGAGCGTATATTTTTTTTCTTTAATAACATTTCTTGAATATTCATGCCGGTAAAAAAAAAAAACAAATGAAGTGTCTACTCAAATATCCTGTAAAAATAACGTTTAAAATGAAAAAAATCTGTCGGATTAATAAATAAAGAACTCGTTACCAATGCAAATGCAAGAAAAATGGAGTCATTCACTATCCGGAAATTTTACTTGGTCACCTGCTCCATTGTTTCATCTGTCAGCTTCACAGAAATTAACTGCCTTTCCGCACTATTTTCTCTTACTATGAAGGTAAACCAAGTGGTCTTGAGCATTGGCGTGGTCCTGTTGGCAAACAGATCAAGAAACCTTTGTCTGAGCTGCCAGTTGTTGCCGTCCAGCCAGTCGGTTTTACTGATTGCCCTGTCCTGAATGAAGAAGTCGAAACAGATCTGTCCTGGGGTCAGAAGTATATGTATATGATTTGTAAATAAGTTATTACAAGTGTTGTTGATGATGACTTGACTTCTATTGAGCCAGGTTCTTCTTCCGTGTCAAAGTGGAATACTTTATGGAGTAGAATGCTTAGGCTGTATTTACCAACATCAAGTCCAAGCCAAGAGCTGAAAAGAATCGTCGTTATAATTATGAAGTTCAGTGCTCCAATGTGGTCCTATATCAAGATGCACTCTTACGTAACACACCGTATGAAAAACCTGAATATTAAGAATGGTTCTGAATAAGACTGTTCATAGAAATGCATACTTCGTCCGCACATATCTACTTGTACGTGTGCAAATGAGGACGTGACTGTTAAAGAAAAACTGTCTCTATGATAAGAACAATTAGAGAGAAGAATCAGCCAAGGGAAGAATGCACTGACAGATCTGATGAGGAGGAAGAAGATTATGCTGCTGGTGTTGACGAGGATTTGGTAAACTACATTAATGATGAGGAGAACAGTGAAGATGGAGATGGAAATGAGGATGTGCCTCCTGTAGTCAACATGAGAATATTGGTGACTCCCAAACTAAAAAGGGACAAGCAAAAATCTATCATTCCATGATTAACTGGATAAATGAACTCAAGACTGAGCCTCCTTATATTGCTTAAAGTAACCAAACAGTACTCAGGCAGTCGAAAATGGAATAAAAGTGATGACTCAAGCTTGCACTGAAGTGACGAGATACAAAGCGAGAGATGGATATATTAGACAAATTTTATTATCTAGGGAAATGTTGCCCTGGTTCCGCGCAAAAAATTTCACTGTTACCTTCTAATATTTTAATATGATGTACCTCTTAAATAATATTGGAATTAAATTGATATCACCGATGTAAAATTTATTATTATTATCGTGGCAAACAATATAAAAACACTTATTTTTTGGTGTACAGTAAAAGTTGACAAAAAGTCAATCGTTATGATGCAGGGAAAGTGGGCAAGAAATGGCTTGAAAATCTTTCACAAGTGGCTGTTGCAATCATGCACACGATGCCTGAAAAGTGCAGCTTGCAACTCAAAAATGCGTTGTTTTTTTTATTGCTTACTACTGTTTAGCTAATAAACGGAATGTCTTAGTAAATATGAGTAGCCACTAAAAATAACGTTTAAATTGATAACATCTGTTGAATTAATAAATAAAAAGATCCATGACTTTGCTTTGTTTACGTTTGGATACGAAACTTAGTTGATATGAAAATTCGAAAATCTATGACAAGAAAGACTTCGCTGAAAGGTGCTATTCAGCCTGTCAGATTAATAAATAAAAAAATACATTACTTCTTACTTTGACCGCTGTCTATAATATCATAGAACACCAATAACCCGGTCTAAACGTTTCTCTCCGGTTATGAATCATTAATCAACGATCGACAGTGTTTCGAACTAAATTAAAAAGCAGTCGATGAGTTCTTATTTGAGAACACAGGTCAATGGATGTCTTTTTATGCCACTACATCGCGGCAAAATATGCGTAAAAAGCAATATCTGATAAGCACTTTACGATCAGCAGATGTTCCATTGACAGGAGAAACCGGTTGAACTTTTTTGCAACTGTATAATTCTTGGATAAAATTCTTTTTCTGGCTTACAGGAAATAACCAAGCCGTATACGACTAATAATCAAACAAAGAAGTTGAAAAGACTTGACATCAATCTCCATTTCGACTGCTATTTTAAAGCTAAACTCTGTCAAACGAGATAAAAGAAATTTCGAAATATGAAACGTGAAAGCGTTTACTGTAAGATTCCAGAGACGTACTGATGAAGCAAAACATGTTTTGAAGCGAGATTGTTTACATAATAGACAGGGAACAAACCTAGAGGACTGAAAAAATCAGCGCACGTGTTAGGCCTACCAGAGAGATGAATGACATCTGAGAGTATCTAAACAGATGCTCTCAGATGTCAAAGAATAGAACACACAACAGTTTCAGTACCTGAGCCGGGATATATATACATTCCCACCACTTGAGTCTAGACATTCACCCAGCCGCATCACCTGAGCCTGGACACTGATAAAGACCCACGACCTGAGTCATGACACTCATACTGTCATTCGACTTCTGTGTGGACAAACCTACATACCCAGAACCTGAGTCAGAACGCACATACACACCCACCACCTGATTCTGGACACTCATACAGCCCGAACACTGGATTCAAAGGACTCATATATTTCCACCCCCTGAGTCAAGACACTGATAGATTTCCATTATTTGAGTCCGGAGACTTATAGAGTTACACTAAGTGATTGGTTGATGGTGATGTTTTTTTTTTATTTATTTTGTTTAAAGGTATATCAATCCCTGTGGGTTCTTTAATCTCAAAATATAAATATTTTGTATACACTTTTTTTTAAATAATAAAGATTTTAGTGATATAAGTCTTATTATAATTACCCGTAGTTGATAGGATAAAAGAATGATTCATACCTTTCCCAAACATATTGGCGCGTAAGTGAATATAACGAACCCGATTAGAATTGGATCTCGGTCCCCCGATTAATATTTTCTAACCATTATCTACTACAACACTCGCACACCCAATCTTACAGTACCTAGTATTCCTATGCGATCACCCATCTAGGCACTGACCAAGTTCGATTCAACGTGATATGGCCGTCATACACCTTTGAATAGATACATTCGTTATTAATCTCCAGAATTTCACTATTAGATTTTCCAGTAGATCCTAGTGGATTTAACCGTTAGTTATAACATATCTAGTATCTTGAGTATTGCGAGTTCAATTCCTACGTCTAGTGCTGAAAAAATCACTTAATGGTTCAGTAGAAGAAACGGACAACCGACCAGAAGGTGAATAAGACGTGTGATCCTTCTGCGACTGTTGAAAACTTTCCTGAAAAGTATTCAGTTTATGGAAATAACCTGATCTAACACAGTTAATACACAAAAAATGAATTTATTCTATTTTGAAATGAACCTCTGTCAAAAGGAGTTGAAGTCTGTCACTTTTTAACATATCTTTTACAAATACAATACTTACGGTTACTGAGTTTCAAATTTGGTTTATTTTTTTAATTATTGGCAACAAGAGGTTTTGATTCGATGCAGGGAACAGAGCATATAACTGACAAGCTTGCGGATATGAAGATACAACGAAGGACGTTTTAACATGACGTCTGATTGTAGTAATGAATATGAGATTAAATTACAAATTGAATGCTCACTAGTTTCTGAAAAAGTCTACAAGTTCTCTCACAGTTATGTATTTTAATATTCCTTTCCCCAGTTAGAACAAGGTGTGTTTGGGTAAACAAGCTGACAATAACATCCCGAGGGTTAAACAGATCGATAATTAGAGAAAGTACATGTAGATGTAGTTTCACTTTCTCAAATACTGTTCATCTATCTATCTATCTATCTATCTATCTATCTATCTATCTATCTATCTATCTATATATATATATATATATATATATATATATATATATCAGTCTGTTCATATCTATCTATGTCTGTTCATAATCTATTTCTTTATCTTATGTCCTTATTATATGTTCCTTATCTATCTATCTATCTATCTATCTATCTATCTATCTATCTATCTATCTATCTGTCGCAGTCTATTCTTATCTATATGTCTATCTATTGCATTCTGTTCATATCTATCTATCTATCTATCTATCTATCTATTTATTTATCTATTGCAGTTTGTTCATATATATCTATATATCGCAGTCTGTTGTTGAGTGATTGCTGGAAAGTTCATCTACGAAACTTTAGAGGTGAAATGCGTTAGCTAAGATAGATAGATAGATAGATAGATAGATAGATAGATAGATAGATAGATAGATAGATGTTTTGATCAATTTAAAGTGCATATGCTTGTCCATGATGGCTTTCTATGTGTAGCGTAGATGTGGCACAATGCCGAAAGTATGGGGCACCTAGTGAGGATCGACCTCCATTTTCAGTTGTAACTGATTTCGCGAAACAAGCTTGCTAAACATTTCACCACGCCGAAGAGCCCCATATGCTTGTACATGTTTGTTCTTTAATAAATCCGTAGCATAATGATGAAAAATAAATATTTTTTCAAGATATTCTCATTTGTTAATACACTTAATTCATATTTGATAATTATATATATATATATACATATACATATATATATATATATATATATATATATATATATATATATATAATCGAACATTATACCATGAAACTTTTCGATCAAAATTCAGTTTACAATTAAATGTCAGTATATAAACTTGATGATCCATTTTTTTTACGTCTGTATGAGTAGTAATGATATAATTTGTGGTAATATCTGAAAAAATCAAAGCCAGACACCCATTAGATGACAGTAATTGACCAAGTCCGGGGTTGAAGAAACAGTAATGCTGCGTATATGCAGGGTCGGATTATGACCCATAGGGGCCCTAAGCACTTAAAAGAATTTGGGGCCCCCATACATCTCCAAGTTAAGTATGCGAGTATGGAGTTTCGATAAGTAATGCAAATAAATAAATATAGAATGAACCGAAGGCAAGATGCGACCATCGAGAGAGGGTGACAATCAGTTCCAACCCAGAACAACACCAACCAAGACAAAAACAATCACAGCCGTGCAGTCACTGTCAAATGAGCTACGACCAGATTCTAACAGATCTGTAACCGGAAATGGCCGTGTCATCAACAAACCAGCGTGTTACAGAATTGCATAAAAATATGACTAGAATAATTAAATCCCATTAAGTTAATTAGTAATACGAACTTATTCAAGAGAGAAGATGTGTTGTATTTAGTAAATACAATCCTCAATATCTCCCTTAGCACATTGCCTTATTAACCAATCAGAATGTCAAAAAAGATTCGCTGCAGGTTAGTTGTTCCGCTTCATAATGGCGCCCTGATGATTCAAATGTTAATCGCGTTCGACTTATTTCTTTAGATGTGCACAACAACATCATATCATTACAATTTTTATGGTGACCCCTCCTCTTGATACCCTAAGCACGTGTTTATTTTGCTTAATGATTAAGCCATCCCTGCGTATATGGGATTTAGTCTCTTCTTCTCATTAGCCGGGAAATGATAACATTACAGATATACTAGTTTAAGTCATAAATAATTTCCGTGTTTTGTTCATCAAATTTTTTCAACAAAAATGAAAGTAGAATTCCTTTTTATTTATATATATATATATTGCTGTGGGTCCGTATGTCGATGTTAGACGTACCTGCAAACATTAAAATTGAAGAAGTGACACAGGCCAAGGCTGGGATGATGAGAACAAGGAGTTTAAGTAAAATAAGCCAAAATTTATTATTGGAAGAAAAAAAAAAGGAATAATACAATTGAAGAATCCGGATGTTTCATATACCGGGTTGGTTGTGCTGGCAGTTGACTGTTGGTCTTAGATGCGCCAGCAGTTGATAATGACCGGAGCAACTCGAGTGATGCCGAAGGTTGACGAACAGTTGGTGTATTGGGTTGGTATATCTGGTGATCTTCGTGGTGATGAGCAGCAGGGAGCGAAACCTGAATCGCCGAGTGGATTGGTAGAAGACGTGGTCGGTGAGAGCCAGATGGTCGCTGGTGGTCGCTGATCGCTGATAATCGTTGGTGGCTGGTGAAGACATAGTTAACATGCGTATGTGTCTGGAAACATAATTATCTATCTATCTATTTATCTATCTATCTATCTATCTATTTTTGTTTCTTTCTTTTATTCTATCTATCTATCTATCTCCTTTGCAATGCGTATAATATTTTTGTTTGTTTCTTTCTTATCTACTTTTAATGCGTGTAATATCTATCTATCTATCCATCTATCTATCTATCTATCTATCTCCTATGCAATGCGTATAATATTTTTGTTTCTTTCTTTCTATTTAGCTATCAACTTTGTAATGCGTGTAATATCTATCTATCTATCTATCTATCTATCTATCTATCTATCTCCGTTCATTATCTATCCACGTTTGTTCCTTATCTATCTTGAATTTGGTTTTCATTAGAGATTACATGATTTTGCCGGCTGGTGCATAGGTTGGTGAATACGAAAGTCTGGGTGGAATAGACAAAACCGGACTAGAAATATGTTCTTCTGTTATTCTCGTAAGTGGCTTTGTGTTGGCATGTGAGCGACGAAGATTGTTCCTTTAATCTACTGTGTACGGTGCCACGTGAAAAATATAAGCTACACCGTTGTGCAAATTAATTGAAACAAAACGAATAATTCCGTTATTATTTACTTTTATTCGTATTTTTCCAGTGAAACATGACCCAGTGCATATGTTAGTATTTTGTATGTCCATTCGACGAAGTCGTTCCTTGCAGACTGACCACTGATTCTCGATTGGATTTAAATCAGGAGAGTTTCCTGGTCAGTCTATAGTACTTTGATTTGCTCACTGGTAAGATTGCCAGTGTGTTCGTGAAGCGTTACAATTTTCATACGCTTCCTTTGATTAACGTCCATCGCAGACAATGGCTGTAGGACACCTAATCGACAGTCGAGACAATAGTGTCTGGGCGTGATAAAAGTCTGATGCAATCACGGATGACACAATATTTTTCGAGGCCTAACAAATTTCAACATACACACCGAAAATATATTCATATTACTTCAAATGGCCTAATTTGAGGAAAAAATAGAAATCGATTACACCCGGTCAATTCAGTGGACCTAAAGCAGACCGAATGGTGAAAGAAAGAAAATTAAAGTTTTTATGTTAGCGTACTCATAATTTATTGTTAACTGCCACGTATAATAAATTCGTCGTTACAATTGATTCCCCAAATCAGAAATTACTTCTGAATTAATATAATATAAATTTTATAAACATAACCGTGGTGATGTTTAGAAATTATCGGGTGGACCCAGTTCCCAAAAATCTGAGCAAATATCCAAGCAGAATTTTGTTAATCGTATCTTTGTTGGCGCGAAAATGTTAAGACATACATTATCCTACTTTATCTCTTTCTTTTTTTTTCTGTCGACATATATAGATATTTACTCAGTTTAATCTGGCACAAAGCCATGTGGTCGGAGGAGGAGAATTTTGTTGTGATAAACTCCTGAGAGAAAAGACCCCCTCCATGGAAAATCATTATTTGAAATGCCTGCTTTCCATAGACGTTAAACTCAGAACAAAGTCGACCAAAAATATACAACTACACGTCTGAACTTACGCCTAGGCATATATCGGCACATCAATAAATCCAGAAGATAATGATAAAAAAACGTATTTGCTTTACGAAAGAAGAATGATTTTTTTCCAGCATAAGAAAAACAGAGGTTCAAGCCATACCGAAGTTTGTATTATCTTTATGAAATGCTCTCTAAAATACAGGCTCGTAGAAAACAATTATACTATTGTGAAAAAAGAAATATCTTCCCAAACACGTGTAGCCACTAAATCTAACGCATGTATTAATTAGAGAAAATATATATTCACCAAACCTCGCAAGCCTATTGCTATTCTGTTGTTTTTCCATGGCAAATGTTCAGACGAGCTACATCCCTTAGTTCCACATATCCAGACATTTACAGTTGGGTCCCGCACACAGGGTCGAATAATCTCCATTCCCTTCGTAATCTATTGATGATAAGGAAATTCCACTCAGACAGCATATTCCTGAAAAAAGGCTTCAAAGAGGAAAAACCTGTGATCACTATTTTCTTAACTTCTTCAAGTATCGAAAAAACTTTTATCTAATCTAAATATCTTTATATGTACATATATATCATTATATGTATTTACTTTCTCCACTCAGCTCTCACTCAGTAATTCTTTATGTTAGTTTTTTTGTTTTGTTTCCTCAAAACAATGCTTAGTGGAAAATGATGTGATTTCTCTCATTAGCTCATTGTTTGGGACCCGGAAAGTAATGAGTATACACCAGAAATCAAAATAAAATAATACTAATAATTGCAGGTATTTACTTCAAATGTTTAATGGATCTCTTTATATCTTATTCGCCTTTCTTCAAATTATCGCAGACCCCACAACCACGATGGTCAAAACTGGCCCAAAAGTTTGTCAAATTTGTAATTCATTCAATCTCGACCCTGTAGTTTTAAGTGCAATAGTTAAACGTTTATTTTCTGGGATCTTCTGCATTTCTAGGCAAAATCTGATAGCATTCTCTATTTTATTGTACTATTCATTACGGAAACGCTACCTTTTATAGTAATGGCACTCAGTCAGTCAGTTATATTTCAATACATGATTGACGATGTAGGTTGCCATTTCTTTCTACGGTAGACGAGTTGTCATCTAAGTCTATAGAATCAGGCCTGTTCTACTATTTACCCATAGCTCGGGGGAGAAGAAGAGGATTCATACCTTTCCCAAGGGTATGAGCACGAAAGTGAATGTAATGGATTCGACCGGAATTCCAACTCGGCTCTCTGATTCCTCAGTCCGAGCCGCAATACAAAACTCCACCGTGTCTCCAAATAATGACACTAATAATAATAAAATACGGCATGACAAGGTGAGCAAATATTTGCACTGGAAAATCTATAACTTTTACAAACTGCAAGAAATAGGTATGAACACGTTTACAGACAGAAGGCATGTAACACATTTATGAAACTTTACAATACACACTGACATAAAAATCAAAGCTAATCCCTCGGATTTAGTGATCAAAGAGCACAAGAACAGAACGTGCTTTTCCTGCAGACTGTAATGTACCTTGAAGTGAAAATCTAAAAAATGTGGCACATAAC